GTGTCAATCATAATTTCTTTTTAAGTGAGTATTTAATTTGGCTAATTGACAGCTGGCTATACTAATTGTGATTTGGTCTGGTTTTTTTTTTCTGTCTCTAAAGGAACCAAGATATTGATAACCTCATCAAAGTGAATTCAAGTTCTTTCACAAGTGACAAGGCGTAAGTCTTCAAGGCTTCTCAGGCCCTGCTTTTCTAAGGCAGTGAGTAGTTTGTAACTATGAGAATGTCAGGAAAGGTAATGTTGCAAATCTGTACAAGGTTTATAGATTAATAAATAGCATTCCTTATACAGAATGATGAACATAAAATACAGACTAATTAACTGATGTGCACTGTCAGCTGAACAAGTAATATCTGTGGCCACCTATCATACATGCCTTATATGCTTCCTATAACTATTAAAGAAATATTTTAATATAGTTGGAGAAGGGGCATTAAAGAAAATATTGTAGAACTCATAGATGATAACTGTTGCCCCAACAGAGTGTAACAAAGCATTTCAATCAGCAAGGGCAGTGATCCATAAAGAACCGCTTGAACTTAGATTTTTGAACAGCACATCAGCTCAGTGTGTTTCAGGCCAATTTTCTTGTGGTCTGTAAGCAGCCCTTCAGCACGCAGAAAGGGAGGAACTGCCAGGGTACTGTGCTAGTAAGAGTTATGTAATATTTGTCACACAACACTGAAATTCTGCAGGTAACTTCAAGAATGATGTTCTAAACAGTAGCAACACATAAGTGTTGCCAACACATGATCGTCTATTTTACAGTAGTCAAACAGATACGTACATATACGTATATACACTTAGCTCTAACCTGTTAGTTGAGTATAATTTTTTTGCAAATTTTAATTCAAAGGGAATTTATTAAGATAGACTCCAAGACTTTGAGGCACTACTGAATTTTAAGACACATCTGAAGTTTTAAGATTAATAAACCTATTCTGCATTGAAGTAACCAAGTTACCAGTTTCACAGAGCTAACAGCCTTTTGCTTTTGCTTCTTACTTCTACCTAAAGAGAATCAGGGATTTTTACATTAGAGTGCTTTTCTTAGGTCATTCCATTCGCTAATTCACTGAACCATTTAAAAATAATTTTTAAAAATCCAGGGGAAAAACTAGCCATTAGTTTAATTGTATTTATGAAATTAAAAATATGTTTCCTTATATATAAAATTTATATGTCTTTGAATGCTTACATTTGCAGTAGAAGTACAGACATAATCAATACTTTGTCAACTACAATGATACATGGAGGTAATTTCTTGTCATTCCAGAAACAAAAATATGTGGCTATTTGGACATATTTTTAGGTGTCATCTTAAGAAGTAGAAGTTTCTTAGTTTAAATAAAAATGTATTTTTTGCAAATTAATGATGCAAACAAGGTTTAAGCTGCTTGGAACCTGTAAACTAATACTAAGTTCTTTGAAAGTTCATGTTTCTCCTTCACTGTCTTCACTGGCAAAGAACGATGTTAAACTATAGATATGATTACACAAAGCCTTTTTATTTTCTTGGTTGTACTAGATAATATTTTTTATTTAATTGTACAGAACTTCACCTCGCTAGTGGAAAATTGTAAACATATTTTCTTATTATGGTCAAAACCATAAGTGTTTGTAAATTTGGAACATAACTGGCAGTTTTGTTTTTCCTTTTAAATGTGTGCATAAATATATTTCTTTCTTTTACTACACTTTACTTCTTCCCAGATAGGGGGAATATTTTAACAGTTGTATTTGTTTGTTGTTTCAGAGGAAAAGACCTTGAGGATTTTACCGAAATAAATACTGCTGGGCAGAAAAATAAGAGGCAAGGCTTTCATAAACTTTCCTTTATTTACTTATAAAATGTTTGTGGTTGGTTGGATATTAATATTAATAGGTTCCATTCTGTAAAAATCACTAGAGGCGTAAAAATTAATATTTTTATTTTATTTAGACCATAGAATTTAAACTTTTTTAAGTTCCTCATTAAATACAGGCTAGTAAATATAAATAATTCAGTGTGGAAGAAATGCAGGTAGTACTTGACTTTATCTTTTTGCAACTCTAAATAGTCAGTGCACGACCATCAAAGTTCTTTAAATTAATGTGAAATGTTCCATCAAACTAAAAATTGTCCTTTAAATACAAAAGAGGAGTATCATAAATAATTTTTAAAAATCCTCTTTTTTCTTAGTATCATTATTCATTTTCAAATGAGAACCAGTGGAGCCTTTTTTAATCTTAAACAATTCTTCAATGGATAACATTATTATTTTTAATTACAGACCATTTAATATAATATATTACTGTAAAAATATATTCATGTATTATGTAGATAACATATGTTAATATATGAATTTTTTTATATGAAATCAGGTTTTTCACAGCCAGTGATTTATGACTTAATAGTATAAATCTGGTCACATGGTCCTAGAGATTGTATACAAACCTAGATAACAACAGTTATAAGAGGAATCTGGGCTGGATATAATGACAAAGCAAATAACAGACTTCGGCAGCCATTTCTGTAGCTCATGGTGCTGGTGCCTGTACTGAATGAAATTACATTATCAGGTTAAAATGATAGAGCCATAGTCAGTTTATAAGATGTAGGCAGGCCCTTCACCAGTAGCACAGCAACACAATGTGACACAGCAGTCATAAATTGAAACAAGAGAGATTCAGACTGGATATAAGGACGACTGTCCAGCAGTGGAGCACATTGCCTGGAGAGGTTGTGCCATCTCTGTCCTTGGAGGTTTTCATAACCCAACTAGAAAAAGTTCTGAGTAACCTGGTCTGACCTCAGAGCTGCCCCTGTTTTGAGCAGGAGGTTAGACTGGAGACCTCCCGAGGACCCTGAATTCCAACCTGAATTACCCTACAATACTATAATGAACTTAGCATTTGTGAGTAGTTTGACATTCTTTTGTAGTGTCACAATGGAGAGAAACTGAAAAATACTGAAGTTTGAACTGATAACTCTTACTTCATAACTAACTAATCACATGATATGAAACAGTTGGGTTACATACTCAGGGTAGTCAGGAATCTGCCTTGTGAAAGGCATATAATTTTTTTGACAAAAAAATTTTTTTTTTATTTGAATGTAAATAATACAATCCATTTAATACGTTTAGGTTAAATCAAATAATTTCATTAATTCTGAGGTCTTTCTCTCTTTCACAGAGATGAGGGCCTTGGTGATCACACTGAAGCGAAGCCTGCTGATGACCAAAGTAAAAAGCGGTGAGACTCAATTCATTGTTCTCTATAAAATTTAAAAAGCTGATATCAAGAGTTGTAGTAGTTTAGTGTGGTACCAGAACATGTGAATTCCTAATACAAGCAAGCAAAATTTGCATAACTTGAGTAAAATATCTGTATTATTTCTAAAATGAGCCTGATTAACCAAATACAACAATATAGCTGCATGTATTTTGATAATAACTAATAACTCAAACTTATAAACTCTTGTAGCGAATGAAAATGGCTGGTGATAAGATCTTAATAAGTATTTTTGTGCTTATCTAGGTGTTTTGTGAACTCAGCCAATAACACCTCAAAGAAATGTAACTAAATGCATTCATAGTTTAAAAGATTCACTGCTACTAGGTTTCATTATTTGGAAAAACTAAGATCCATTTTGGTCAATTAAAGTGAAGTTATGTTTTCAGGTACCATTCTGATGGTGGTTTTTGAATCTTCCATTTAGTTGTACATCTAAATGAAGAGGAAGAACTTAGCTATCTGTACACACAAGCACTTCTGCTGTTTTTTAATATAAAATATTTTTGTCCTAGTGGTCTCACTCACCAGTCTGACCAGAGAAGCATATGCATAAGTGAATATGCACAGTGAGTGAGTTCCTCTTTTAGTTCTGAAAGGGGGCCTGCCAGATTAGGAATCAAGCACAATAGAGGGTGCTGCTTCATGCAGCATGCTATGCATATAAAACAGTGACCAGCACTGAGCAAGGTTCATTTAGCAAAGCTTCAGACCTTGGCAAGCTCACTGAAATAAATCAAGCTGCAGCCCAAACATCCAGAGTTAAGGCTTATAATCATCAAGTTGTTTCAGAATATAACCTTTGGCAGAACCAAACGAGCAGCCTTTGTCTGAGCTGCTTTATAAAATCAGCTAAAACATTATTAGCATTTAGTCCTTAAATCCTATAATTTGTCTGACAAGGTTTATTTTTATGTTTGGTTGCATGTCATGTTTGTGACAGGGAAAACTGCAGGAGGCAAGGTTTCTTGTTTGAGTCGTAATCCTGCTTTTTTAAATAAGATTCTATTTAGCTGGTAATTTCTAATAAAAACATCACTGTAGTATACTAAAAAAAAAAAAAAGGAAAAATTGGAACTTAAATATAGTAAAAACAAGAATAAAACTTTACAGAGTACTGCCAAGAAAATGCAGAATGCTATCAACCACTGAGATGTTTCTGCACTGTTGAAAACCTCAGTGGGTACTTTGAGGAAACTAGAGTTCAATTAAAGTTAGATGCAGTTTCTGATATGAAGATACCTACCAGCATAAACCAGAGGTCAGTGATTCCGTTACATTTCACAAGCAACAATTTAACAACAGTGAGAAAAAGGTAAATTTATTTTACCTACTGTTACTAACCCAAGCTTCTAAATTTATGGCTGTAAGTGTAACTGAAAGCAGTGTAGCTCAACATTATTTCTAAAAAGTGCTTGTTTTCTTGTTTTGGGTTTGTTGTTTTTTTTTTCTAGAATAACTGAGCAAGCATATGAAAATCCTCCAAGGACTCCAAATAATCTCCCAGAAACAAATTACTCCAGTAACAGTGAAAGAAAGACCAGGTACTGTGAACAATTAATTGAGAACAATAATGTCTAAAGTGTGATTTCTTGGAGCGGGGGTGGGGGGAAGAAACCATCTTTATGCAAGAAATGTCAGGGATGTTAAGAAACCTCACATTGATCTGTGGAACCATGCCAGCCCCCTTCCAAATTCTGTTCCCAGGATCTCACGAACAGAAGCCCACAAAGCACAGCTCTAGTGCACAGGGTAGGGAGCACAAGACATACACTGTGTAGCTCTAGAGATGTAGCCGAGGCATGAAATTTAGGAAAGCAGTTAAGCCAAAATTCTTATATAGCAATAGAGGAAAGGCATTTCCTGCATATTAGATTCACCATGCTCTTAGGGAGCTTATTTCTTTCTGAGTCTGTAAGGGAAACATTATGCTCTTTACCCAAGTGCTTTGTTAAGTTCCTAAAACTATATGGGATGAATCTGAACCCACGTATCATCTCTTATCCCAATCACTGAAACTGCAACATGGGTTTCTGACTTTTTGACCAGGTACAAACTTTTTTAAAACCAGCTAGATTCCGTCTCTAGAAGCAAACATGTTGCAAATCTGAGTGAAAAATGTGATACAGGGATATTTAATAGAACTAACTAAACACCAGGGCTGTTGGTAACAAGAAATCATTGAAATAAAGCAAACATATTTTTCTTCACAATCAAATTGTATTTTCAAGAAATATGACAACAAAACCATAGAATATAATTCTTGAATTAAGAACCTTTTTGGATTAGGAAAATGTCTGTTCAGTACCAATGCACCTATCTATGTGGATTTAAGTATTAATGTAGACAGGACTGTTGAAAGTATTGCTGTATAGTGGTTCTGAACTGCCAGAGTCAAGGCTGATGACTTGGAAGGGAGAGAAGAAATCTTCTATTGAGCCTCACTAATAGGAAAATAGGTACTTTATGGGAACTATGGCCAACGTCCCAATCCTTAAGCTTATGTGTACTTGACCCTTGGTGTGGATATGACCAGGCACAGGGTATTTGATCTCTCCTTTTCTTATATTTGCTGTAGGAGGTTGGAAAGCAGTTGAAATTTGTGCATTCTGAAACTTCTGCATGGCCTTGAAGGCCCAGCCCATGAATTGGCTGAGAATAAAAGAAAATCTGAACAGCATACAATTTTAAGACTCAAAATGAATATTCAACACCAAAAAAATATCATTTTGCAGCATTTTGCAGACATACAGCTTCTGAGGTGTAATATTTTGATTATCTTTGAAAATTAAAATAGAGAACAATAATACAAGAGTGGCAGGGCAGAGAATGGGCTTCAATATGCAGTGTTACCTTATACTTGACAAAATTTATACCCTCTACATGAAGCTGTAATGCCAATTTAATTCATGAAAGCTTACTAAATGAAGGGTCTTTGCAGGTTATTCTTTCAGGGTTTATGCAGCTGGTTCTACAGAGTATTTATTGTTGAGTAGTTTGCTGTATAAACAAGAAATGCCATAGCAAGCAGAGGAGTGAGTGTTATGAACTGAAAGAATAGACTTGATCAGATGGGCAGTTCTCAGGCTCAGTTTTAACTTAGAGTCTTGTCAAGCTGCATTTGTTCGGAAAAGTTCTGAGTTTCCTCACACTTTCAGTTAGCAAGACTAGAAACTGATGCTTTGGAAATATTTTTGCTGTAGCTTCACAGGTTTTTTTTATTCTATACAGTACAATTCTTTTTTTTTTTTTTTTAAGATGTGGTTATATCTATTTGTGTGTATTTCAATCATAATACTCTAGCCAGTTACTAAAATCCAAGGAACACTGTTCTCTACACTGGGACAGGTGAGGAAAGTATTTTTCTCTATACAACTTTCTATAAGATAAACAGTGTTATTTTCAGGCATACTGCATCTATATATCCATATTATGGGGAGTGTGCAATGCACAATACTCACTTTGCCCTGATCTCAACCCTGATTTAACTAGATGATCTGAAATGTCAACTTGATTCAGCACTAGATTCTACCTCTAAATACAGTAAGTCGAATGGAAGATTTGGGAAAAACAAGCTTAACAACAAAACCAAGCACAGACAGGCCCATACTTCATAGGAATAGAGACATGATATTCCTCTGCCACTTTTCATTATAGTAAGAAACTTTAGGCCCTTGCACCATCAATACACTCCACCCTGTGACACGTCTTGTGTATGTGTCTAGCTTGGTTGGGGCTATAATAGCCAGAAAAACTCTTTCAAAAGACAATCTCTTAGCTTCAGTTTGCTTTCCTACTTGGTAAGCTTACTTTCATCTTGCCTGAAATGTAGATGGACCACTGGCTGTTCATTTGAGGAGATACTTTCTCTGTAGTGAGCAAACCCAGGTCTGCTACACCACTATTAAATAACAAGGATGTTGTTATGTTCTATGAAACGTAACAAAAACTTTTATCATTTAAGCTTCTCAGTAACTGTGCAATTTTAATAGATTTCTGGTGTTGCATAGAAGTCAAATAAGACTTATACACATTACAAGAGAAGGATGTAGAAAAGTGTATCTGAGCTGTGTAACACCTTACACAATCACATTATCAATCTGTTATACTTCTGCTGAAAAAAAGACATGTTCTGCAAAATACTCATGATTATAAAAAATTGCTCCTAACATTGCTAAACGTTATTCAAGAGTGACATGAAATGTGTAATCATTACCATATACCTTATGAATTTCTGGAGGATAATTAAATCAGTTCAGAAATGCTCAAAACGTGTATGGCAAGATGACTTCTTCACCTGTCACATACGTGTTCATCCCCATGCAAACAAACCTGACAGTTAAGCAACTAGAATGGGGCCTATGAAAAAAAGGAAGATTTAACTTCCCTGATAGTTAAATTCAGTATATTCCTTCCTACTGTGATACAAGGAACAATACAGCTACTGTGCATTACATATCACATATTGAACAGTCTGTATTATAAAGACCCTGACTCTACTTCTAGAGACATGTTGTAATTTTGTTTGGCTGTTTGATAGCTCTTTGAGGACTAATGAAAGAAAGGGAAAAAAAGCAAAAAAAAAATGCAGTGTGTCACCATTTCCTGATACATATCATTTAGGCTGGGATATCAGCACAGGTAAACCCAATACCATCACATAGATTTTGCTCAATGGGCTTATGGATTTAATTTTGAAATGTTGAAGAATCATTCAGCAACAGAACACAGTCTAAGGACACTATATTTGTCATTTGTATTTCTTTATCTGATATATTTTTCTTGATGGTTGTGAAAAAGAACTCACCACCAAGTATGATGATTTTTATTACAAGCATGTTACAGTAGTTTAATTTGCATATTATCATCAGTGTAGTGAAACGTTTAAAAATAAAAAGTACTGTTTAGTGATTGCTATGCATTCACTGCTTCACAGCAAATCTTCATATGGTGCCTATGAAGAAAATATAACTGGAAATACAATCAAAACTGTTTACTCTACTTCTGATCGGTAAGTACACATTAATAACATTGCAGAGTATCAAAGGACACAGACATTTTGCATAAGCATTCAAGTGTTCAGACAAAAGAGAGCAGTGGAAGTCACCATTAGGCTCGTGAGACAGCTTTTCATACAGAGCTCCCATTCAGTGGGATCTTGCCATCAAATCACTACCACAGTTCAGCAGCCTAATATTATGTTAGGCTTGTCACAGCTGACGTTTTAAAATATCTGTAGAAACAACAGCCAATGCCTTAAGTGATAGAGTTGGCTTTGTGATTCTGTAGGTTTCTACCTCAGGCAGCCGCTTACTCTACAAAATATCCTTCCTTTGTGAGAACAGTGTATGTCATGACCAATTTTATGTACAGATGTGGAGGTATAGGTTCACATGACAACACTTTTTGAAACTCTATATTTTCACACCAGTTAAGATATTCCCAAATATAAGAAAGATACTTGCTCAATTGGTAATATCTTACCTCATGGGGAAAAAAAAATGAAACGTGCCCACTATTTTCAGTTCAGGTAATTTGGATATTCCCAGTACTTGGAAATAATGAAACAGAAAAACTTGTATCCTTTCCAACATAAGTATAAGGAACTCTGGGAATGATTAAAAATTAGTACAATGGTTTATCACTGAGTGGAAAGGAGCAAGACCAGTTGATTTGGTAGTGCAAAACCACCACCAACAGTTGCATGTAGAGAAAATACAGACCGATGTCACATAAGAATGAAAAAAGAGCTAAGAAAAAATTAAAGTATCATTGTTCTGAATACCAGGTAGGCTGTTCTATATGTGTGTTCACTATAACTGCCATGAAGATGGGAATTCTGTTTGCAGTGCAGAAAATTAAAAAAAGTTTTCAGGCACTTCTGCAACACAGAGGAGAATTCTGTATCAGACTGATCAAATGATGGCAGTTTAAATTCAAGTACCAATTTACTTTTGTGATTAAAATGTTAAAATCATTACCCTCCACTTCATCCCCATTTAATATACATGCTCCTAGACATTCAGCAGCTTAATACAGTCTTATTACTGTTTGAAATCATGCAGTTCACTAAAGATAGCCACTCTTTCTATCAATGTATTTTTGCTACTTGACAATTATGGTTAGCAATTTGCCCATCATAGGAGCATGTATGTTACACCTGTCAACTAGAATGGAGGGAATATACACATGACATTTTTCCATATATGGCCATTGTGGTGTATACAAATGTCTTTCCCATGTAGTACACTAAGCTTATCAATTTTTTCCTTGAAATTTCAGTGGTAGCTCTTTTTCTGACAGCTGATGTTATATTATATACACAGGAGTATAATTGGAAAAGATATATGTACATACTGCAGGAAGCCCTTGGGCATAGATGCCAAAATGATCTTAGATGCCTTGCAAATTTGCTGTCATTCGACTTGCTTCAAGGTAAGAAGATTTCACCTGCTACTAAGAAATAGAACTTGAACGTAATACCTGCATTATATTACACATATAATAAGAGAATATTTAGGCCTTTGGCCTTCTCCACTGGGGAGCAGAGGAAGGTTTACACACCGAAGGAGAAGATTAATGTAGGAAATACTAGTCTCTCTCTCGCCCCTATGCAATCCCTTCCTCTTTCTTTCCATATCTCTCTCTCCCTCTTCCTCTATTCTCCCTCTCCCTGTCTCTCCTTCTCTCTGTTCTCTTGCAGCCACAAGGAGGATAAAGGATGCAGTGGAACGTATCCTGAATGGCCTACGCATTTATAAGCCTTCAGTTATACACGCTTCCACTCTGATACAGTGAACTATATCCTACATACACTTTCTTCATATTGTAAAATTTTATTCTGCTGCTTTTTTTTTTTTAAGTTTTGTAAATGTTCTTGATTAAGTGACATCTAAAATCATGGCTTGTGGAGAAACCACACTCCAAGGCATTAGTGAGAAGTATTAAAAATAAGCAATAGAGGTGAAATCATTTTACTCATTGGCGTCAAATAATTGCTTAAAATTAGGGTCCTATGGATAGTTCCTGCTGTAGGATAAAATGGTGTTGAAAATGGATATGTCTGCTTCAGTCTTATTTATTAAAAATTATGTAAAAGTCTTTTTTCCTGTTTCCAATAAGAATGAAAGCATAGAAGAAAGGTTTTTTTGCTTGTCATTCCAAAGCCTAAGCCTCAGCCTAAAATTCCCTCTTAAACTTTTCTCAGGGTATGCGTACCAGTACTCTGCCCTGTAGTCTGTTTTCTTTCTGCCTCATTTGTCTTAATTCCGCTTGCATCTTCACACAGAGTTTGTTGTTCTAACAAACAATACTCGGCAAAATCACCGCATTAGCATAGCTCATTTTTCTGCCCAGTCTTGCATAGCTTTTGCTTTTGCTTCTGACAGCAGTTCTTCTACCTACTTATTGCACGAGAAGTAACTCAAACCAGAATACAGCAGTAAGGTTACATATGCCTTTTGTCTCATATGGACTTTCTGAGCTGTGAGCAATAGAAATGAAATTTCTTCCGTGGAAATTACTATGTAATACTTCCTCAAATCTATTATTGCAAGTAAATACAAACTCTGGCTTACTTCCATTCTTTTTGGATGGATCAACCCACATAAAGAGGAATGGTCTTTTTATTCAGTTAGGGGTGTTAATATGTTGATATTGGCTGAATTATCTGCTCAATATTTAAGCTTATTTTTTTAAATTATATTCTTTTTTGCCACCTATTCCCAAATGGGGAACTGTCTTGCCATCAAAATTCAGGTTAAGTTTTGTATAACTACACATTTATGAAAGCATTGGTAAAAAATTAAACAACCAATGTAAGTCTGTGGTTCATGCTTGTAGTTATGTATTTAGCTAAGCAGTGCAATTTCGCATCATTAATATTCAATTAGCTCCTTACAAATACGCTGTATCCATTAGAGATTTGCTTGTAGCTGACAGCAGTATAAGGTCTTCGTTTCCATGTAAAGGTATATACCAAAAGTTCAGTGAGTAAATAATCCAAACTGTAGGGTTTTTTCTCTGTATAAAAATGCTAGATAATCTTGGGGATCAAAGCTTTGAAAACGTTCCCATCCTTTTGCTGATTTACATAAGGAAACATAAAATGACTGAAGAGAGCAGACTGTTTTACTAGTACCTTAATACTAACAGCCTATTTAGAAAATAAGTAGAAAAACATATTTCTGTAAAACTGGGAAAAAATCATCTAGTACTCTAAAATGTTATACTAATCAATACTGAGTGTTCAGTTTCAATTTCATACTAGCTCTAATGAGCATGCGTAATGTAAGGCAATTATACATTGTGGGGATCCTGGATCTAATCATTCACAGTGCCTTTAAATCCATCGTGTTGATACCACACCATTTCTTTATTCATTTAGCTGCAAAAGGATGTTCTGGGTAAGACTGTTAATTTTTAATTTTAATAAAGACTTCCAGTCCAAATTCATCTTAATAGACAGCCACTGTGAAGATTTTGGAAAGGCTTACAGCCCTTCTGGGATGGCTGGCAATTTCGTTACTGAATCGCACTGTAAAAGTAATACTGATTTTCACTTATCAGAGGATAAAATATCCAAAGAAACCAGAATTTGCCATTCTTTTATTAGGCTGCAAAAAAAGGGTTGATCTGGGTGTCAAGATTCTGGTTTATAGATTGAATTACTTTGCTCCTTGATCCACTCTGGGCTTTCTTTGTGATCTTGGGAAGTCAGCTTCTATATATATCTGTGTATTTTCATATGTGAAACATGGATGATGCTTCTCTATCTCAAAAGTTAGCTTTTTGAGAAATTTGTGAAAGCAATGTCCAGATACTGCAATAATGGGAGACATATTTAATGGTCAAGATAAAGTATCATAAAACATTTTTAAATAAGCAGGTTTAGATTCTTTAAGATCTACTCTGAGTTGGATGATTAAGTCTGATCATGCTTCCTTTGCTCAATGAAGAAACAAAAGGATCTCAAAAGGGTGATTCGTGTTATTTTAGAATAAATTTCCAAGCTAAGACAGAGAAACTACCCTTTGGAAATGTCTAGGGGAGGGAAGGTGTTGATGACTATAAAGAGAATTTAGGGAACATTTATCTATACTTAGATATCTGATTTTTAGATGTCTAAAGGTGGGATCTTCAGATGTCTAATTTAATATTCATGAAGACTACTCTTTCAGAGTTCAGACTTGAGGATATTGCAATATTCATAACCCCTATTCTGGTCTGAGGTTGCTTACTCCCTAAAAGACATCATGCTGGGAATGAATATTAAAAACTGTGTTGTTTTAATTTTTCTTGTTACTTTGACTTGTGTGTTGCAGTGTGAAGTGTGCAAAAGACCACTGGAAGATCTGAAAGCAGGAGACAGCATTTGGATTTACAGACAAACTGTGCATTGTGAGCCTTGCTATTCCAAAGTTAAAGGTAAGATACAAGACGTATTATAATGAACATAAGAAAAACATGTAGAGAACTTTGTTCAAATAACTTCAAGTTATTACAACACAACTATTGCTCTTGCTCATTTCTGTGTACTTAATCCTTTTCAAAATATTTCACTCAGTAAGACTGGGTTGCTTAGGATGATATCCAACCCCAGGCTCCAGACACAGTAATTATTCTATACCTTTGAGGCAGATCTTTTAAGGTCTCATTGTAATCTGTAGAGTCTTACCTGTGTGGTCAATGGAGACACCTACAGTAAGGCAATGGCATCTTGCCCTGAAAGGCACAAGAATAAATTGCAAGACCATCTGAGAATCAGTTTGTTCTAGTGAAACGAGTAAGTCAGGGTTCAGAGGCATTTTCACCTAATGTGGGTGTTCTGACCAATAAAGAGAAGATGGAAAATTTATTAAATTATTAATTCATAATACTATAAATCAGTACCTGTGTACCAAATAAAGACAAATGGAAACCTAGATGCAATGTTCTGATGTGCTGGTGTTCACATGTGTAGTTCTCCTGAGATAAGATCATGTTAGATAAAATTATATTAATCAATTTGTTTTCTTAAAATACTTTGTGTTATTATGCTATTGCAAAATTTGATGTGAAGAGTGAATTTTACAATTGATTAGATTATACAATTAATAAGGCATTGTGACGGTTATAAAACTGTAGAAAGACCTAGCAAGGATCTTTATATTAAGCATTACAAATTGACATATCCTGTTTCAGCAAATGACAAGACTAGACAGTCAGACTTCAGTAGATTTTCTAAAAAAATAAATTGATCTAAATTTTCATTGTATAACATTTAGAGAATACTGATTTGCTTGGCATTTCTGATCTATCTTTTCTCTCTTGCAGAAAAATGGATCTATTAATTTTGGCATACAGAAAGCATGATAAAGAAGCTCCACTACTGTTTAGTTAAGTGTATTGGCCTGTTAATTCAAACCACTGTGGAAAATGATTAGTTTTTATTGCTAGAAAAAAATACTCTAAATGCAGTCCTACTGCATGGTTCCGGAAGGAATTAATTCCATGAGAATTTAGATGCCTTTTCATACACACATTCCAGGAAGCAAAACAAGATGTTGTTCAGTATATTCATCAGATCTGTGAAAATGCTAAACTGTATGTAAAACTAAAGATAATTTATTGACATTTTCTGAACAGCGGGACATACCTATACATATGTTTTGAAGGGGCTTTATTCTCTTTACTGAAACCTCATCTCCTCAGATATAAAGATCTAGTATCTTTATATAGCATGAATGGGAGTAATCTTGTCAAAGATTAGTCATTTAAAAGCCAGTTATTCAGTTTAAAGTACTATTTTCATACAGATTGAGGTGTGTTCACTCTGTACCTTTGAGGAGAGAGATCGATCTCCAGAAGAACATTCTTCCCAAGTAACTTAAATGATAACGTTAATATGGAAGAAATCATCTTTGGAAAATGCATCTCTATTACTGCAGAGGGATTCTAAAGAAAAAAAAAAAATGTTAGAGGACTTAAACTCCATGATTGCAATTCTGGTAACTATTTTATGAGCATTTTTTTAAGAAGTGCACACTTAATAGTTGCCATGAAATATATACTTTGCATGACATTATGTTGTTGTATTTATCTTTCCTACTTTATTAAGCTCACTATCTAAACACCTTGGATGGATTAATCTCGCTTAAATGTAAACATCTACAGTGTCAACATCTACTTTTAAGTTATTTATCTATTCTGTCTTTATAGTCATACAGAGAAGTAGGTATTTTTAGGAAGTGATTCAATTGGTTAGATTGCAAACGTCTGTTTTACTGTGAGGTTAACCATGCTCTTAATGTACATCTTACTTTCCACGGTTTGCAAAGGAACCTGGAGTGAATAGTTCAGATTTCTAGATGTCTACATTAGGCCAGATAAAATCCTTCCTTTGAGACTACAGTGAAAGCATTTTTTTTTTCCTTTTGGACAGCGTACGTGTATTAAAGGATACAAACTGAAAGAAGAGTCCATGTTTTGTTATAATACATTTCCACAACACTCAATACTTACCTGTCTTATTTGCCTACAATAATAAATAGTTCAGTGGTTTACTGGACAAACAAAGGTGTTGACTACTAGTCTCTGCCATGACATGTTTTAGATCATGGTTATTCAGAACTGATTTTTTTCTCTTACCTCTCAGCTGAAAAGGACTTCTTGGATATGATCATGACAGAGTTAGAGTGCTCAGAGGCGGCGGGACCTTAGCAAGAGCTTAGAAGGGTGAAAAGTGCCAAAGCCATAGATTAATATTAGACTGTTGAACAGCTGTCCCAGCCAAACTTTCTCTCCTCGTCTGCACATTCAGTAGTGGAGACAGGACATATGGATGTCCGCGCAATTTAAACCATTGGGTCTGCAGCTGAATCATGATGTAATCTGTCTTGCCTGGCTTAAAAGATGTTCAGACTGATATGCAAAGGAGCCATGAAACAGTAGATAGTTTGTTTTGTTATTTTTATGAAAAATTCCTATGAATTAGTGGCAGTAGCTTTAATAAACCTGTTATTATAAATATTTTTTTCTGGTGTGTGTGTGTATTGCTATTGATGACATATTCTAATTAAACTATACTCAATATTACCCTGTCCTGCATCAGGAAACAGTGAGATTTGCACAACAGGTGGAGAAAATTAGTGGCAAAGATTTAATGTTACGATCACAAATTTGGTCCTGTTCAGAGACCAACACTTATTGCTACAGCTCAGTTACAATGGAAGATGTTAGATATTCATTTGAGCCACCACATCAGAATCCAGGACTGCTTAGCATTTGAGGGGATGAGAGATTTTAGCTCACTCCATTAGAGACCAGGAGCAAACTCTGGATCCAAATATCTGCTACTTAAACGCTCACTGACAGACAAGTAGCAATAAGAAACAATAAATAATAATTCTGTGCTCATTAATTCATCCTTGCTGAACAGCCCTGGTAATTTTGCCATGTGTTTTTTTGTTATTTTTTATTATATGTTGTAAGTTTGCTGAAAAGAAACACCGGTTTTGTGGTGCTTGGTATTTACCATATAAAAGCCTGGATGGCAGTACTCATTAAAAAAAAAAAAAAATCATATTAACATCTCAATACCAATGTATCAAAACTTAATTGTTTTTTGTCCTTTTTGCATATCATTAGTATGTGGTGTTTTATTTTTCTTTGACTAGTGCTTCCATGAAACAATCCAAACGAACAGTTTGCTGGCAGCTGTTTTAATGAGCGCGTTATCTTCAATAATGCATTAAATTAGACTGAAAAGCTGTATTGAGCAATGATGTACTAAATTATGTGGGGTTTTGTGATTCATCAGGCCCATTTTCTCAGTGTGTAATGGATACTTTATTTTACAAAGCTGGGGCATAGCTCTATGGGGGGAGAATCAAGCAGTAAGAGGAAAGGAGTGAAATAATGCATATAATACATATTGATGCACTTAAACATGTAGATGGCTTCAAAGCTACTGATATTTATAAGAACAAGGAATGTCACAAGAACTGTTTTGCTGTATTAATATATTCTGTTGTATCCAGCATATATTCTGTTTTGAGCCAGCAATGTGCCCTTGCCGCCAAAAAGGCCAATGGAATCCTGGGCTGCATAGGGAAAAGTGTGTCCAGTAGGTGGAGGGAGGTCATTCTCCCCCTCTACTCGGCACTGGTGAGGCCACAACTGGAATACTGTGTCCAGTTTTGGGCTCCACAGTTCAAGAGGGACAGGAAAGTGCTGGAGAGAGTCCAGCGAAGGGCAACCAAGATGATTGAGGGATTGGAGCATCTCCCTTATGAAGAAAGGCTGAGAGAGCTGGGACTCTTTAGCCTGGAGAAGAGAAGGCTGAGGGGAGACCTTATTATTGCTTACAAATATCTAAAGGGTGGGTTGAAGGAGGATGGAGCCACACTCTTCTTGGTGGTTCCCAGTGACAGGACGAGGGGCAATGGGCACAAGTTGGAACATAGGAAGTTCCGTTCCAACACACGGAAAAACTTCTTTACAGTCAGGGTGACAGAGCACTGGCACAGGCTGCCCAGGGAGGTTGTGGAGTCTCCTTCTCTGGAGATTTTCAAAACCCGCCTGGATGCAGTCCTGAGTAATGTGCTCTAGGCAATCCTGCTTTGGCAGGGGAGTTGGACTAGATGATCTCTAGAGATCCCTTCCAACACTGAAGATTCTGTGATTCTGTGATCCTGTGTAGGTTATTACAAAACGCTCAGGCTAAGCATCCCCTCCCCAGCAGTGCATAATGCAAGGTGACATCGTCCTCTCATCCTCTTCCTCTTGTAACAAACACCTCTGTCAGTTTGACAGGACATGCTCTCTGTTACTTCATAGGGCCTCCTTAGCTAGGCTTGTAAAGAACTGGTCAACATCAAAGGAGCCTGTACGCTATCCAATAGGTCAACTCTGTTTCTTGCTCCTTGGTACAGAGATGTGTGTCATGTTGTCATGTTTGGATAGTTTCATGTGTGCAGTTTATTTACTCAGAACGTATATAGGTCAGAACTCTGCTACCCCTCTTGCCTTCCTTGATGTTTTCACATAATCCCGTTGTTTATGATGCAAAGTATCTGCTTTCCTGGTTGTTTTTGCTTCCTGATCATACTTGCATGTTGCTCACTGTAGCTACTCTGTTACACCAGGAGGTGGTTTTAGCTTTCAGTCAAGTTGGTATCAGACTACGAGGGAGAAATATAGCCGCCTTTTCTCCTTTCTGCTGCACCAAAACACCTGGCTTTTCTTCACACCAGCATAACATCAAAGACACCCTTCATTCTGTAGAGAAAGGATAAAGACACTTAATACTTGGGTAGGTTTTATGTGCTGAAGTCTGAAATTGTTGACCAAAATAGCTCTGTTTAGTTGCTTAACAGATGCAGGATCACTGAGATCTTGAACTCATGAAGTATTTCCTTCTTTGACTTCAAAGGCCTCCTGTCCTGTTTTGAACTTTGCCTGGTCTGACCAACCCAGCTCTAATCTCCTGCATCAGTAAAACTGGGACTTAGAAACATCCCTTGCATTTCAGGGAGAAGAATCTGCAGATATTCTCCAAACATGCTGTTTGTCACACACTCCTGAGATCAGACCCCCTCAAAATTCTCCTGACAACTACCTCCTTTTAAAACCATGGAGTTGGTGGGTGTTCTCCTCTTTGAACAGATCACGGGCCCTGAAAGTGGGAGGGCCAAGTTCAATTCCTCCCCTGCCATACCTATGTTTTAACCAAGTGGTGTAACACAGCGCAACAGACTCATCTAAAAGAGATGTCCTTGTTAATGTTTTTGCCACGTTCCCTGACCTGTGCAGGGTGGATCCTTATGGCTCATGGACCACAGGATAGCTGCACTGGCTGCACGTTTGCTATCTATGTGCCTATTAACCCCTCAGGAATGACTGTTGAATAGAAAATATAGAGACAGTCCTGGCAGCAAAAAACAGATCCTGGAATTTCTCTGCCTCATCTTAGTGGTCTAATTCATAATTAAAAGCAGTCTGAATGATTCTCTGTTAATGACGCATTCCTTTCCTTAATGACGCATTAGAGGAGTTGCCTGCACTCAGATTTGTCTGGAGCAGGATGGGGAGGGAGCGGAAGTTTGGGGTTTTCCATCTGAGAGTACTAGAAATGTCTTCATATGATTATCTTTGTATCTTCACCTTTCTAGTCTCTGAGCTCTTCTGGACAGGGACTAACTCCATCTGTCTGTGCCCAGCATCGCGGTGGCCTCTGGGTGGTACTGCTGCACCTGCGTAAGTGGCTCAAAAAAACCCTCAGATTTCACCTCTCTTTCCAAGCAAGCTACTTGTAAATTTACTAATTTTGTGGAGTTTTTATAACTGTGTCAATTATAAATTGACAGCTACAGTCTCATAGCCTGTGCCAAGACTTAAAACTGGTTGCTTTTGTCCTGCTAGAGTCAATATCTGAGTATAATTGTGCCAAAAGCACTTAGGTCTGAGTCTTGGCATCGCTGTTCAGTCATCAGACATCTGTTTAAGGAGCTTCGACAGCTACTGTGGTCAAAACAACGGGCAGCCAAATTTTAAAACTACCTACTCAGGGAAAAAAAAGAAGACAATAATTTCTGGAAAGAAAATGCAGAGGTTTTCTGGCATTCAAACTGTTTTTCCTAATAGGGGGAAAAATTAGTGTTCACATGTCAAAATACCCAAAAGAAGCGGGACAAGGATAAAAGCTTAAGAAAAAGACGAAAGCATTACGCAAAGAAGCCAATTAAGGAAGGACAATCAGAGATTTTGGAAACTAGGGATAGCAACTTAAAAAGTAATAGTGCTGCCATAAATAATGATGCCATTGAAATCAGTAGCCAAACTTGACTGTGAGATGAATATTCCAGAAAATGTTGGTCTATCTTCCTATCTTCTGGTTCCTCTGGGGAGTTTCCACCCATGTAACTTTAAATTATGCTATCCTTGTGTGTAGTTCAAATCTTCACGTTAGGAATGGGAATCCAGCTAGCCGTACTTGAAGCATTACAATCTCGGACAGCCAAATATTTCAAATTCTAATATTTGGAAAATCTACAAAAGTATACAATTGATAATGCATTTGAACATTGCTTTTATCCTTTTACCAAAGTAACAGGTAAGTAAAAGTAACAGTAAAGCCTTTTGTAGTAAAACAACAGTTTTCTCATGACAAAATTCTCCATGAGGGCAAGCGTACCAGCTGTGACATGAATGACATCTGCGGGAAGCTGGAGGAGGAAAACAGCGAAAGTGCAGGATTTTTTCTGCCCCTTCCACTCTAGTGTGAGACATGCCTGATACTCAGTCAGAAGAGAGCACGTGCTTTGAGAACTTCGGTTTCTGTTTCTTAACTCGGAGATCACTAGGACTGTTTAAAAACTCCCCTGCCTCCTAATTCAGAATCAGGATCTCCTCAGTAGAAACATAAATGAAACAGGGGAACGGAGGCAGGAGGGACTTGGAAAGAAAATTGGAACAAACACAAGGAAAAGATCTAGAGAAGAATATGCTCTTTTGTAATACCACAATTCATACATCTTTCATCAATCCAGTGAGTGTACTCAAGAAATGCCTTTGCCACACCACATTTCTTCTGTTTCCAGATTGTCCCAGAAAGGGCTGATTACAGAGTAGCTCTCCTCCAGCCTCAGAGGTGTGTCTGATGCTGACCGTACACCTGCAGAATGGACAAAAGGGACATAGAACCAGAAAGACTGATCAAT